CCCGCTACGGCCGACAGCGCGTTGAGGCAGGTGTACTACGTCTCGTGCGGCAGCTAGCTTATTGCGTAGCGTTCGCACCTCTGCCTCCAGCCATGAAGGGGCGGAGGTGTAGCCCGTCCTGTGGTGCGGCAACTGTGTGTCGCTCCTGTGTGACCGTCATCTCGCGTCTTGCGTCCACCCATACCGCGTTGGTGTCTCAATCGTTGGTCGGACTGTGTGTCGCCTTCCTATCTATCTATCTATCGGCAGCTCGCCCTCGCCCGCGACGTGCGTGCAGCCGTACTCGCGCAGCCACGGCTGCGCCGACATCTCCCCGAACATAACGTCCGCCGACCACTTTGTACCTAGGGTTCGGGTACCGTGGGGGGTAGGGGATGGGTTCGGTGCCGTGGGGGTAGGGGGCCGACCACTTTGTGCCTAGCACGTCTCTCCGTCACGACTCGGATTGCTCCATCCCGCCGCACACGACGCCGGCCGGCCGAGCTCGTTGGGCCGTTCGCGCCATACGCCTCCTTGAGCGTGCACAGGTCGCGCGAGCACTGCGTCGAGTTTGTCCACTCGAGCTCGGAGCCGCGCCTAGGAAGTGTCTAGGACGTGTCTCGGAGGCGTCTCGGACGTGTCTAGGGAGTGTCTCGGATGTGTCTCGGACGTGTCTCGGGCGTGTCTCGGGCGTGTCTCGGAAGTGTCTCGGACGTGTCTCGGACGCGTCTCGGAGGCGTCTCGGACGTCTCGGAGGCGTCTCGGACGCGTCTCGGAGGCGCGAGTCTAGGAGCGGCGCCGGTGGAAGAGGTAGCCGGACGCGGCCATCTCGTGCGGATCCCGCACAAAGTGGACGAGCCTAGTCACCACTCTTACCGATGAGCTGAGGGGGTAGCCATCTCGTGCCGCACAAAGTGGACGAGCCTAGTCACCACTCTTACCGATGAGCTGAGGGGGTAGCCATCTCGTGCCGCACAAAGTGGACGAGCCTAGTCACCACTCTTACCGATGAGCTGAGGGGGTAGCCATCTCGTGCCGCACAAAGTGGACGAGCCTAGTCACCACTCTTACCGATGAGCTGAGGGGGTAGCCATCTCGCGCCGCACAAAGTGGACGAGCCTAGTCACCACTCTTACCGATGAGCTGAGGGGGTAGCCATCTCGCGCGGTGCCCCGCGCAGGGTGGACGGAGCCGGTTGTGCGGCGAGCGTGCCAGCCGCGCCATCCACATGTCGACGTCCTCCGAATAGATTTTGATCAGAAAGTGGCACAGCGCGCCTGGGAAGTGTCTCGGACGCGTCTCGGACGTGTCTACGAAGTGTCTCGGACGTGTCTACGAAATGTCTCGGACGTGTCTCGGACGTGTCTACGAAGTGTCTCGGACGTGTCTCGGAAGTGTCTACGAAATGTCTCGGACGTGTCTCGGACGTGTCTACGAAGTGTCCCGGACGTGTCAGGAGGGTGGCACGGCGCACCGCCGGGCGGGGACGTCTCCACCGGCTGCTCGCGGAAGGTGTACTTGTGGGTCCGCCGGCCGGACGCTGCGCAGAGGGCGTCGGCGAGCACCTTGCAGAGTGTAAGGTAAGGTAAGGTACACTTCTCCACACACACGAGGTGGTGGGGCAAGGGGGGGCAACCCTCGCGTCTCCACGTCTGACGACAGGAGCCCCACGGCATTCAAAGTGCAAGGCCTTGCAGAGTGCGGCGGTGCCGCTCTTGCTTGCGCCGCTCTCGTGCCGCTCTTGGGGCGCGAGATGGTTGGTCTCTGGGCTGTCTCTCTGCGGTCTCTCTGCGGTCTCTCTGCTGCCTCTCTGCTGCCTCTCTGCTGTCTCTCGGCTCTCTCTCGGCGGTCTCTCTGCTGTCTCTCGGCTGCCTCTCTGCTGCCTCTCGGCTCTCTCTCGGCGGTCTCTCTGCACCTTGCCCACGGTCGTGCCGCTCTTGTGGTGCGCCACGAAGATCCACTCGCCGCGGCCGCGCCCCGCCCGCTCGGTCACCGGCACCGCCTCCTCGGTGAGCAGCTTGCCTATGGGGACATGTCTCGGACATGTCGTGGACGTGTCCTGGGGACATCTCCGCCTCCTCGGTGAGCAGCTTGCCTGTGGCGACATGTCTCGGACATGTCGTGGACGTGTCCGTCGGACATCTCCGCCTCCTCGGCCAGCCGCTTGCCTGTGGGGACATGTCTCGGACATGTCGTGGACGTGTCCTGGGGACATCTCCGCCTCCTCGGCCAGCCGCTTGCCTATGGCGACATGTCTCGGACATGTCGTGGACGTGTCCCGGGGACATCTCCGCCTCCTCGGTGAGCCGCTTGCCTGTGGCGACATGTCTCGGACATGTCGTGGACGTGTCCCGGGGACATCTCCGCCTCCTCGGCCAGCCGCTTGCCCAACTTGCGCAGCGTCTCGTTCTTGCGTAGGCAGATGCGTCCGCTCTTGTCTTGAAACCGGCGCTGCTGCCGCTCCAGCGCCGCCTTGGTGCGGGCGCGCGCGGAGAGGACGGCGTCGCGGCAGAAGCGGTGCTGCTCCTTGACGCGCTCCTTGTCGGGGAGATGCAATCTCGTGAGGGAGGTGTGGGGAGGTGTGGGGAGGTGTGGGGAGGTGTGGGGAGGTGTGGGGAGGTGTGGGGAGGTGTGGCGAGGTGTGGGGAGGTGTGGGGAGGTGTGGGGAGGTGTGGGGAGGTGTGGGGAGGTGTGGCTAGAAGCGGTGCTGCTCCGAGTTCGCATACATGCAGGGCCCGAGCGAGGTCTAGCCGAGGTCCAGCCGAGGTCCAGCCCAAGTGCAGCCGAGATGCAGCCGAGAGGAGCGCTCCTTGTCGTTGCCGAGCCCTCGCAGCACGAGCGGCTGCACCAAGGAGCGCATCGCGCGCGCCTAGGAAGTGTCTCGGAAGTGTCCCGGGAGTGTGTAACGGTGTGTCTAAGGGAGCGCATCGCGCGCGCGTCGTCGCTGCGGCCGGCGAAGCGCGTGAAGCGGCCTGCGGGGGGTGTGGGGTGGGGCGTGTCGGGCCAGAGGAGAGAGAGGGAGGGAGAGAGGGAGGGAGGGAGGGAGGGAGGGAGAGAGACCTCGCTGCAGCGACTCGATGATCGGCATCGAGGTGCCCTGCGGCCGCGACACGGCCAGGGTAAGGACAGCTTCTCCACGCACACGAGGTGGCGGGGCAAGGGCCAGAGCAGCCCTCGCGACTCCACACACCCGGACACGGCATGTTCAATGTGCAAGGCCCAGTGTGGACGTGGGGTGAGGAACCACGTTCCGAGATGTGGGGAGAGATGGGCAGATCTCACTGGGCAGATCTGGGCAGATCTGGGGAGATCTGGGGAGATGTGGGGAGATGTGGGGAGATCTGGGCAGGCGCCTGCGGCCGCGACACGTTCCGAGCTGCTGCCAGCCCTGCGGCGGGCGAAGGGCGCGGGGCGGGCGGGGCCGTCAAGAGTGGTGGGTGCAAGGAGGTGGGCGGGTCTCTCACCCTCTCTCTCTCCTCTCCTCCCCCCCCCCCCCCTCAATCTGGGCTTCCCCTGCCCCTGCGGGAGCGAGCGGGCGCGGGACGGCCGCGCTCCGGTTCCGGGTGCAGAGCTCGTTGGCGGTGCGGCTGTCGAACCGCCCGCTCGGAGCAGTCGAGCAGTCGACGCGGACAATCATCACGGTCGGCTGGTGCTCCGCCAGCCGCGCGAGCACCGTGTAGACGCGGTCGGGGAGCGACTGGTGGCCCTGCTCAAACGTGACCACCGCCGGGCATTCGGACAGGGCCTGCAGCTGGCGGAAGGCGGGCAAGTCGACCCAGAACGGCGCCGTGCGGTCGGCCTGCTTGCCAATCTGGCGTCTGCCCTCCGCCGCCGGGCCGCTGCACCCGTCTCGCGGCTGTAGGCGAGGTCGTCCGAGTTCGAGCTGTACCGGAACGCCTGCCACTGCTGCGCTTGACATCCTCAAGCCCGAGACTGGACCGCTTGGTTTTCGCCCTGGGGGCGCGGGGGCGCGGGCGCGTCAGAACTGGCGGTGCGGACGCGAGGCTTTGCGGCGGGGTAAGGTGGGGAGGTCGGGCGCGGATGGGGGCGGAGAGGGTGCGGGCGGGGAGGCTTTTGTGGCGACCGGAGGGTGGCCGAAGAGAGAGCCACAGCTTGCGAACGTGCTGTAGCTGTGTTGCCCGCCGCCCTCGAGCCGCCGCCCGAAGAAGAAATTATCGTGCCGCTGTAAGTGCCTCTGTCAGCAGTCCTTCACCTCCTCCGGGAATGTACGTAAGAGCCACATACACTGATGGCGTCATGGTCTTGGTGCCGGTGCGCGGTGGCCAGTCGGTTCTTCGTCGGCGCTACGTCTGAAGAGACCGACGTAGCAGGCGCGAGGCACGCCGTCGTGAGAAGTAAAAAATCTGACCGTGCCACTATCCTATTCGAGAGAGCCACAGGCGAGACGCCTGCACGCCGTCTCAAAAAATCTGATCGTAGCACGCCTTCCTCTCAAGAGAAAGCGGATACACAAGAACACAACGCAGTCTCTCACATGACAAGCGATCCCACGTCAGCGATTGTGGGGACTACATGATTACACGAAGGGTGGGCTCTCAAGAAGGGGGGATCCGAGTGTGTGTGTGTCTGAGGGAGGGTGTAGAGGATGTAGAGTGTAGAGAGCTGTAGAGCTGTAGAGATGTAGAGCGCTGGAGAGCGCTGTAGAGCTGTAGAGCTCTACATCCGGCGCGGGACAGAGCGATGCAGATGTAGAGCACTGTAGAGCGCGATTTTGCTGTAGAGTTTGTTGTAGAGGCTCTACAGCAAACCCGCCGGGAAGGCAGTGACTCAAAGAGGTCGAGCCGCACTAGTGGGGTGTCTCCGAGCTTACTGGAGCTCTGATGGACGGCCCTGACTATCCCTGACACACAGAGAGTCCCTCTGACGGCACACAACACCCTACAACTGCGTCATGACCAGCCTGCCATGCGTCGCCGGTGCCGCATTCGTCGCAGTGCTTCTGTAGCAGGCGGTGGACTGTCGGCTGCGAGGACGGTCGCATTTGCGCGAGGCGAGGCAAGCATTGCTGCGCGTTGCATGCGCCATGCCTCGCGCCAGCGCGTGCGGGAGCTCCTGGCTGAGCGTTGAGTCCAAGCGAGTTGCGCTGGCCACGATCGCTACGCCGAGCCGAGCTGACGCGCCGAGGCGCCGGCCAGTCGCAGCCGTGAGGCAAGCCACAGCAGCAGAGGCACCTGCCACCCATTGGGCGGGCAGACAGAAGGCCAGGGCAGCACTGGCAAGTGCAACGCGCCTAATGTCGGAGAGCGACCGTGCCTCGTTCGCCGCTTTTGATGTAGAGTTTGTTGTACTTTGTTGTACCGGGTAGAGATTTCACGTTGTAGAGCGCCTTGAGCACTTGAGCACTGGATAGGGTCGGTTCCGCATGGTACGGGACCCCTCGATCGTCTCGCCCACCCTCACTGGTGTGTTCATTGGGGGGGGTCATAACAAACACGGTGCACAACGAGAACGTGGCACAAACAAGCGGCTTGGAGTGCACACTTCTCCCCCACGAGCGACGTGCGCCAGACGCCATGAGCGCGCATTGTCGTTTGTTTGAGCGTGCATTGCGTGGCCGTGGGTGCCCGGTGCAGGTAAAAAACACCTACAACGAAGGCGCTCTCAAAAAACACCTCCCTTGACTTCAGCTGGTCGAGTTTGACAACCACCTTCAGCGAGCGATGCGGCCGCTATCCGCGCTCCTCATCTTCACCTTGCTCACGTTTGCCCTTCTCGCCGCCATCTTGGCGAGCGGCATCCTGATGGGCGCGGGCAACGCGGCCGCGTGGGGCGTGGCGCCACTCTCGATGGTGTTCGTGATCGGCCTCACCTTCTTCGGCGAGCGCGCCTGCTTTGCCAGGCCGGCGTCTGAGCCATTGACCAGCGTGGCGACCAAGCCGCGGCTGCACTGGCTGGACAACGCCAAGGCCACCCTGATCACGATGGTAGTCGTGGGCCACTCGGCGATGCCCTTCATCGGCCAAGGCGCCTTCCTCTCGCTCAAGCCCGCGCCGCTGAGCTGGTACACGGCCACCGCCCTCACCGGCACCGCGCTGCTCAAGCCGCTCGTCGTGCCGCTCTTCTTCTTCATCTCGGGCTACTTCTCGGTCTCTGGCCTCGCCCGCAAGGGCCCGGGCGCCTTCCTTCGCGACTCCTTCTGGCGGCTCGGCCCGGCCTACTTCCTCTTCTGGCTCGTCGTCAACCCGCTCAACAGCCTCCTCGGCTTCGCTCTCGCCTCGCCTAGCGACGGCGCCTTCTCCTACTTCCCGGACAGCGCCGCAACGTGGTTCCTCTCGTGGTTGCTCGTCTTCCAGTCGATCTGGTCGCTCGTGGACAGGCCACTGCCGCCGATCGAGCCGCCCTCGTTCGGCAGGCTCGTCCTCCTCTCGCTGGGCGTGGCCGCCGTGCAGCTTGTCGCCTCGCTCATGTGCGCCCTCGCCGGCGCCACCCTCGGTTTTGGCTCGATGCCGATGGCCGGGCCCGGCGGCGACGGCTTCCTCAACGCGCTGGGGTTCGTCGGCGGTCTGCTCGCCAAGTGCCACGACTGGCTCGCGCGGCCACCGCCGCTGAGCCTCGTCCGCCCGGCGCGATGGTACGTGGGCGTCTGCGCCGTGTTTGTCGCGCTCTTCTTCTTCCTAACGCTCGCGCCCGGCGCACCCGGCAACGGCTTCGCCGGCTCGGGCGGCTTCACGCCATGCTTCTTCGCGCTGCAGCTCCCGCTCGGCCCCTACTGCGCGTGCGCGCTCGTGCTCGCGCTCGACGTCTTCCAGCGGCGCGCCAACTTTGAGACGCGCCTCACCAAGTTTCTTGCGGGCGGCGCCTTCGGCGTCTACCTGCTGCAGTATTGGGCCGTCACGGGCTTCACGTACGTTTACGTCCTGCTGCTCGAGCAGGCCTCCGACGCCGACATCGTCTTCGTCAACTCGACGACGAGCAGCTCACCCGTGAGCGACGGCGAGCTCTTTGGTGGCTTCTTCTTCGTGGCCGCGTGCAGCGTGATCGCCAGCTTTCTGGTGGGCGGCGCGCTCAAGTTGGTCCCCGGGCTGAGCCGGGTGCTCTGAGCTCCGTGGGCCCCGACACCTGCAGTCGCGTCAGGATGTTAGCTGTGGCCTGTGGGAAGCTTTGGCCCCAACGTACCTGACGAAGCTCCCTCGCGCACGACACGGAGAAAGAATTTAACGCCCGCAGAATTCTTCGCTAGTGGTGGCGGCGTGCCGTCCTCCCATCCCTCCCTTTGGGCCTTTGTTTATTTCGTTGTTTCTTTCTTTACTCGTCAACATGTCGGGGAGGACAAGACAGATCCAACAGCCTCTCGCGGAACGGGAGCTCGTACGGCAGCTTGCGATCAATCATCCGGCAGCGCTCGCCCTTCCGCCACCCCCCCACCACGCCGACCCCTTCAACTGCACCACCGCCCCGAGCTCCGCCGCCACCAGCCGCCTCGCGTCCGCGGGAGCCGGGAGGGATGGCAGGCACGATACCGAATCTCGGCAACCCCGACCGCTCACTCCCCCATCCCATTCCACGCAACACCGCAGATCCGCTGAAGACCGTAAAAAATAACAAATCCTTGGCGACAAAAGCGGGCGAGGGAGCAGACAGGTGGACGCACGGACAGACCCGACCCAAGAGCTTGTGTGTGCTTTGCGACGCAGTGTGGCGGCGAGATCGACAACGACACCATCTCGAGCACACGCGCGAGTCCGCGACAGCCGACACGGAACACGCTCTCTCGCCTCTCTCTTACCCACATACGCATGGTACAGTACACGAGCGAGCCTTTCCGAAACGCAGGCGAGGCTCGAGAGGCAACTAGTCTCCCCCTCTCAAGGGAGCCCGTGGCATGGGCACTAAGTCGCCCTCAAACTCCTCTCGCGGAGCGAAGAGTGGGACGCTCTATCTCGATCGCACTAGTACGAGTAGTCGTCGCCGTCATCGTCGTCTCGATCGTAGTCGTCTCCGTCGTCGTCTCGATCGCGCCGACCGTGCCGGTGGCGGTCGTCGTAAAGGCCGTGGCGGTAGACATCGTACCGACCGTGGTGGCGGACACCGGCTCCGAGGAGTCTTCCGACGACAGGGCGTCCGACTAGCTGGCTTCACCCATATCTTACCCCTTCTCTGCCCCCCCCTCCTAATGGTTGGGTAGTAGGGCTAGAGGGTCGCTCTACACTTAGCCTCTGCAGCGTGCGAGCGCTCAACTTAGCCCCCGCACGGAGCCGGGCTCAGACTTAGACGCTGTATGGTCGGGGGCCATGAACTTAGACGACACAAGGCCAACTCCGGGTAAAACCCGGGTATCTTATACCTGCAAAAGTCCAGGTTACCCGAAAAATACCTGGACGCGTCCCGACCAACGTGCACGATGACATATCGCTTCCTCCCAGGGCCAGTGCGCTACTTGCGGCGCGCAACGCCTGCTCAAGTACGCGCAACGTACCATATGCTGCCGCTATGCGTGCCTTAAGGCGGCTGCGGCGAAGCGGCGGGCGCGGCATGCCGATGGCAGTGCGGACGATGCGGTTGCGATGTGTTCTGTGCTTCAAGACCGTGGCGGTGCTTGGCATGCACTTCTGCGATCCCAATCAGCTCATCGCAACGAAGCAGCGCAACAAGCTGGCTGCTGCCAACAAGGCCCTATGCTACCTCACGCGCGGATCGTTCAAAGAGGACCAGCATACACAGGCTTCTCTGACATGCGTTTGTTTGAGCTTGAGGCTATTTGTGAGAACTGTTTGGCGAGAAGTCGCCGAAGATTGCGCTCAAGAAGCAGCAACGAGAATCGGAAGAGGGGGATGCTGAGGCGGCGATTGCTGAGCATGAGAAGGATCGATCGCCCGCCGCAGGCGAAGAAAATTTGGGGGCTGCGCCGTATCGTTGCGGTACTTTGATCACGGTGGCGGGGTGGGAGCCTGAGTTGGCCCCAGGCCGTCCACGGCCGACTTAGCCGATGTAAGAGGCTCCCGCTGATCTTAGACCGCGCAAGCACTCCAGCGTGGCTAGCCACACTTAGACCCGTTAGGCCTCCAGGCTCAGAACTTAGACTACTACCCAACCAGTCCCCTCCTCCGACCCCCCAGGCTAGATGGAGTAGTCAGATGTAGATTCTGCCCCACACAGCCCCTTACCCCTTCACCCTCGC